CAGCCATGCTGGCTGGGGAATTCTGGGAGTTGAAGTCCACTCATCTTAGAGTGGCCAAGTTTGGACAACACTGGGCTAAGCTAAGGAACCACGAATTTAAAAAAAAAAAATCCCACAGCATTAAAAGAGTAAAGCAAACTCAAACGGATAAGCATAGATTTTGTCCTTCTGCCTTTTCGTCTTCTAATGTTCAGCTCTTTTTTAAAAAACTGTTTTGAACTCTTGCAAGCCCCCCAGAGTCATTGGTAAGCGGGCAGCTGTAGAAACTGACTGGCTAATTAATTAGTGGATAATTCATTAATTAAAAAAGAGTGAAAGCATGGCTAGGAAAAAGGTCCAGAAATTAAGTTATCAACAGAGAAACTCCAAAAACTTAGACCATCTTACTGGACCCCCTTCTTTGCTGCTTTGAAAAAAAGACTCATTGAAATGTTAATAAGTAGCCCATAAAAGTCTGTTCCTGCAACTCAGGTATATTTTTCTCTCTCCAGCACTGTAGAATAATTCTTTTAACCAATCCCCCATGCCTTAAAAAAAAAATGTGTGAAATTTTAGGAGGGTTTGAAATGAAACGGCAAGAATGGGTTGCTCTTGCTTGAAATACCGGGAGAACCGTGGGTCGCTGCTTTGAATGCCCGAGATCGCTGATCATTCTGAATGATGCTTTAATTTAATTTGGGAGGCCGGCAGGCCCCGTCCAAAGCAGGCCGCCCTTCGCCATAAGGAAGCTCAAACCGCTCGCTCAACTCATGCATTAAAAGCCCATTTGGTCTGAGATTATTTTTCGAGCAGCAGGCAAAACTCAGACCAATAAATTTTACTAAAAGGGATAAGCTTTCAGGAGCCACAGCTACGGCTTCCTCAGATGCAAGGATTGGATAACGCTTGAAAATGCATTTGTTCCGCTCCCAGCTTGATGGATGCCACCAGGCATGTCAAAAAATGTAAGATGGCAGAGGATTTCTCTCTCTCTCTCTCTCTCTCTCACACACACACTTTTGGAAGACAGGGCAGGAACAGCGGGCCGTCGTCCCCTTCCTCCTTGCATGCTCAGGGCCCGCGAAGTGCCCCCCCCAGCCCTGGGCATTCCAAGAAGAGCGGCCGGAGAGGAAAGTGCTCTCTCCTGTTCTTGCAAAGGCAAATGGGGTGCAAAGATTTGAAAGCCCACAAATGTCATTCAAAACACTGCCTTAGGAAATGAGGCTGAAGAGTGCCCTCCCTAAAGCCCAGTTAACCAGGAGGAGCACCGGATGAACGTAATTTGGATCCCGAAGCCTATCTGCGTGCCTCTTTGCAAAATTAGTACAAATGTGAGGGGAATGCATTGGCTTAAGGCAAGTGAACTTCTTTGCAGTCTTGAAATGAAGACACAGAGAGGGGGCAATTTCCCCCTTCCTTCCTTCCTTCCTTCCTTCCTTCCTTCCTTCCTTCCTTCCTTCCTTCCTTCCTTCCTTCCCCTCCCTCCCTCCTTCTTCTCTTTCTCTCCTTCCTTCCTTCCCCTCTTCTTCCTTCCTTCCTTTCATTTCACCCTCTTTTTCCTTCCTTCCTTCCTTCCTTTCCTTCATTTCACCCTTTTTCCTTCCTTCCTTCCCTTCCTTCCCTTCATTTCACCCTCTCCTTCCTTCCTTCCTTCCTTCCTTCCTTCCTTCCCTTCATTTGACCCTCTTTTTCCTTCCTTCCTTCCCCTCTTTTTCCTTCCTTCCTTCCCTCCTTCCTCCCTTCCTTCCTCCCTTCCCTTCATTTCACCCTTTTTCCTTCCTTCCTTTCCTTCATTTCACCCTCTTTTTCCTTCCTTTCCTTCATTTCCCCTCTTTTTCCTTCCTTCCTTTCCTTC